TCCTTGGCCCGTGAACCGTCTGCACGGGTCACGGGTCGGCTCGCAGTCCCGATTTTCACGGATCGATTTTCACGGGTCTGATCGGCCCGTCCGTCTTGACACCTCTAATTGTAGTATTTTTATGGTAGACAAATAGGTGTTTTTTTTAAAATGGATAAATAACTTAATAATATCTTTTACATTAACAGATATCAATTAGTAATTACTTTGAAATGGCAATGTGGAAATAGTCATATATTGTTGTTATAAATTTTACATAGAATATAGAATATATCTTTATTTTTTAGCTACCAGTTCAAAACTGGTAGATCTAGAACTTTCACCTTTTTTCTTGTCATGTCATGTACGAGCCGAGTTTGATAACATTACTTTTTTTCCTCTTCTCCAAAATCACAAATCTCCTTCGAAACCTTTACCTCATTTCCTTAAAGAACGTATTTGAACATTGGGATGGAGAGATTCTCAAATTCCTCGTAGCTAAAGGCTAACCGTCAATGCCATGTGTCAATAAGCTAATAAACCAATTCAGGCCAACACTACACGCCACTATCTTATGTGGCCTAACTAAGGTCATTAAACACAGGTATTCGAAGTGATACCATCATCTCAATCGAGGTGTCATGCAGAGATCGACCATTCATGGTCGAGACGAGGTGCCACGGTCTGTTATAGCTCATTTCAGAAGCGACTAGCCTTTAAACCTATAAATATATCTTTTTTGCTTTGCCTTTTACAAGAGATCTTTCATACAAGATCTTATGCAATTGATTGATATGATCTTTCTATAGACGCTTCTTAATCTACTTTTTAGATATCAGACTTAAGGTGACCAACTTTCAGAATTGTTAAATGTCCTATGAACATAGGACTGTAGATGTAACACCTAGGAGATTGCTAATCGGCCATTAAGATGGAGCCACGTGTCTTTTATCAAACAGTAACCATTTTACCTCTTATACTATAAAAGCTCACACGTAGCGTCTGTTTGACTGCGTATAAAACAAAACAATTTATTTGTCATATTCATTTTCAACGAAACACTCACATAATAAATTATTTTACACGTAAATCTAAAAAAATTTCTCCCTTTTTAACTATACATCCTCCAAAAAATCACTATACAAAACATCATTTTTTACACAATAATGGCCATCAAACAGGGGCTTACTAAAATTTGAAGGTAACACAATTTTACACTTTTAATACTATTGTTCGCTCTTATTATTTTTTCTCTACAACTTGATGCCCGTACATATATTTATGGCTTCATCCGACACTCAAATATATACAAGTTGAGTTGCTCGATCATCGGAATGCTCGCAGTTGCTTCCCTCACCACCAGAAAATGTCACGTACTTCTAATGATTTGTCCAAGTGTACATGAGTCTTATGCATGAACGTGAGTGGAGCTAGATCTATTAACCACGTCTCCAATTAGAAATCGAGGTACTTCCACAGCAACAACATAATAAATTATTAATTTAAAATTTATAAAAGAACATCTAAAAATATTTAATTACCATATAGACAAAACATGAATTTATATAGAAAAAAAAATTACCAAAAATGTATAAGCAAAAAAATCTTCCAAACATGCATTAGGAAAAAAAATCTCCATATACCGAATTTAATGATAGAATATTGTAAAATGAAATACATTCAACGAAATACGTTGAGGAGCATACTGTAGAATATTTACACATATAGACATTTATTAATGCAAAAATTATGGTGGCAGTTTATATAAACATGAATTAATTCGAAGACATGTGATTAAACTGGTGAATTCGGCTTCATACAATTAATTCAAAGATGTGATTTTATGTATAGACATAAATCATAAAGATTGTACAGGCACGAATTTAAAGACATAAATCATAGATCATGCATATGTACATACATGAATTGACTAAACATGAATGGAAATAGACATGCAACGAATAAGCAAGTTAGTATCTAACTGTTAGAATCTAACTGCAAGTTTGCAACTGTATTTGACACTTGTTGATTCGGGAGATCATCTCCTATTGTACATACATAAATCATAAAGATTGTACATGAATTCAAATACATAAATCATAGTTCATGCATATGTACGTACATGAATTGACTAAACATGAATGGACGGACATGCAAATAGACATGAATTGAAAAAACAAGTTAGAATCTGACTACAAGTCTACACCGTTATGATGTGTGTATATTAAAAAAAAAAAATTCACATATCACCAAATTAATTTTGGTAGATGTGGTAGATGATTATGTTTTAAAAAAATTACTTCCTTCACTAAACTTTGAAAAATTAAGTTATCGTGCTGATATAATGTGTGATAAAAAGAAAGAAAAAGAGTATAGAGAATAAAAGTCAACAAACTTGTGTGTATTAATTATTATAATGAGAACCAAATTCATATATTTATAGGGAATGAATATGGATACATATAGTAATAATTTCTAGGGTTGTATGAGATACAATTGTCATTTACCAATAAACTTACCATTTACAATATTTACAATATTTGTTTGAGTTTTAATAGGGTCTATTCCATGTTCAGCCTATGGATGTAGCAAGGACCCTATTCGGCCCCTACTGCCTACTCATGAGCATTATATAACTATCATTTATATTCGAAATGGATTTATAGCAGAAAACCCTCCTTGAAACATTTTTATTTGCGATATATCTCATACCTATTGAAAATCGTAAAAAAAATTCCCTTATTTGAAACCTTTTGTAAGAAAAACCACCCTACCATCAAATTTTCCGTTGAAAACAGTAAAAATGTCAAAATTAAAAAGTAATAATTGCAATTTTAGTATCTAAACTTTTTATTCTTTTACAAATTATACCCAAATTTTTTTTATGTATCACCCACAATCCCAAACCTTTTAAAACTTTATTTTCCACCCCATCCCACTTCACCTTCCCCAAAACTTTATTATTTTATTTAATCCATTCCAAAATCCCTCACCAGAAATTTATCATTTATTATTCTCATTAACAATGAAAAATCATAATCAATACACGCATATACAAAATTTAATAGAAACAANATTAACAATGAAAAATCATAATCAATACACGCATATACAAAATTTAATAGAAACAATATTCATATGCGTTCAAATAAGTGCAATTTAACTATTTTAAATTGAAATTAAAATAAATTTAGAACACATATACAGTGGATGAACGCATACCTGAAAGTGGTAAGAGGGAAAAAATACTGACTGTCACCTATTAATTTCTATCATTAAACTTTAATTAATCTCTGTAGAATGAACTGAAAAGAAAGATAGAAGAAGATGTACATTATAACTATTTCTATGTTGAATGTACATACAAGTAGAAAAAATAAAAGCACTCCTGCTAATTAATCTCCGTAAAAAACTTCAAATTGGTAGTTAAAATCACTTTTCTTAACTCCTAAATCTCTCACCCCAAAGATCCCTATTCGAAATGAGAAGAAGAAATGCTGAATTTGGTGTGAGGGATTTAGAAGGATTTTGGAAAGGTTTAAATAAAATAATAAAGTTTTGGGGAAGAAAATGAAGTGGTGTGTGTGGGGTGGAAAATAAAGTTTTAAAGACTTGGAATTGTGGGTGGTACATAAAAAAAATTGGGTATAATTTGTAAAACAATAAAAAGTTTTGATACTAAAATTTCAATTATTACTTTTTAATTTTGACATTTTTATTGTTTTTAACTAAAAACTTGACGGTATGGAGGTTTTTCTGCGATTTTCAATAGGAATGGGGTATATCGCAAATGAAAACATTTGTAGGGAGATTTTCTGCTATTAATCATATTTGAAATTAAACTTATCACTACTATATAAAAGAGCGATTTAAATTTTTATTGTTCATAAGCAGTAAGTTGAGCCGAATGGCTTTTTGGCTCGGCTCGGCTAGGCGAAGTCGTTTTTGTTTTTTGTTTTTTTTTTTTACTGAAAGGTCCGTTCAGCAATGACCAAAAGGTGGCTAGGCTTGACTAAGCCGTCTAAGTCGGTTTTTTTTCTTTGACTGAAAGGACCAAAAGGTCTTCAGAACGGACAAAAAGGAAGCCATTTAATTTATTTATTATTATTTTTTTTACGTTTGATTCAATATTTAAATTTACAGATATTCGTTTCAAGCACTTTAAAATTTGTTGGAAATGTTGAAGTGTATCCATGATAAATATATGATCGATAAATTTTAAATATCAAATTGTTTTTTTTACATTAATTGTGAAACGTAAAATTGTGATTTTTTATGTTTCTTTTCAATTCCAACCTCATTCCAATTCGATATTTCACGATATGAATATCTATTTGGGATCGATGCAAATTTTTTTAAAAAAACTTAAAATATGATAATAATAAATATATTGTCGTGTTTTGCATTTGTTTAGTGGTTTCTTTTTCTTTTTCTGACTTTGTCCATTCCTCAAAGCAACCTATCATTTCACTACTTTTTCCTCCACTTCAGCCTACAGTATTTTGCATTGCATTTTTTTAGTCATTTCTTTTTCCTTTTTCTAACTTTGTCCATTTTTCAAAGCAACTTAGGTCAAAGTGCATTTCTCCGTTATGCATGGTCCAATTTCTTTTATAGACTTTTCCCACATTAAATGCAATTTGAGGCAGTAGATGATTTATTCAATTCACACGCAACCACGTACTTGATTTGTTCAATTTCACACGCAGCCATTAGATACATTTCTCTTACTTCTCTCTCCGACTCTCATGGACATTACTGTGTGACCTGTGTTGAACATGTTTTCTTCATTCATTCATTGCTTCTTACTCCATTTTGCACGTAAATCACCTCCCCACTTCCCCGCACCCCCATTGCAAGATGTACGTTTTCTTCTTTTTTCTCTTTTTTCTGTTATTTTCTCTCGCGATTCTCTTTTGAACTCTAAAATGTGCAGATTTTGTCTCGAGAACGGGATGATCATGATGATTCCAACTCAAGCAGTGATCGTCACAATAAACGCGAGTACAATAGACAAGTAAATTTCATTTGTACTTTTTTTTTCATACTTATTTTTTTTCCTTTGACTGAACGGACCTTTTGGTCCGTTCAGCAAGGACCAAAAGAGGTCATTGCTGAACGTCGTAGCCGAGCCGTTTAATAGTACATAAAGGGGAAGGGAAGGGAATAAAAAGCTAAAGAAAGAGAAAATGGAAGGAATTGATGATTTTTAGGATAATCTAAAGGTGGAATTTGCTGTAAAGTCTTAGTTTTTCTCATCAAATTCTTATTTTTTTCTTTTCTCTATTTTATGATTTGAATTGGGCTTTGATAATATTCCGTGATCAGAGAAATCAGAATCAACTTGAGTCATTTTTGGCTAAATCATTTGTATAGAAAGATATGTACATCTCTGTGAATATATTCAAAATTTTTTATGTAATTTCTCTTTCTTGAGGCTTAAATAGTGTCTTTGCATGCTTCTGTGTGATTTTTTTCATCTCCACATGTTTTATAATGGGGTTTTTTTTTTTCAATATTCTTTAGTGACTTGCTTCTGGGAATACGATTAGGTTCTTTGATGCCTTCAGGATGAGTCATTTGTTGACAGCTATATTAGTAGCATTAGAGTGAATTTTGAGAGTTTTATTCTCATAACCCCATTATTTGTGTTGATTAGACTACAAAATAGTTTAGCTATTTCAAGTCCAGGACTCCATTTTTTATTGGGGTTTAATATGATTTTCCCGTCTTATTATAGGAAATTATGGATGTGGAGCTATATGAGAAGACAGCAAGCTACAAATTCTAAGTTCATTTTACTATTTCCTTTTTTTCTTGTTATTTCTCCTTTTTATTCTTTAATTATTTATTTCATGTATAAGAATTATTTTAGCAGCGTAGTCAAATCATATCAATAGCCCTCATATTTTTTTTCCTTGATTTGGAGATTGGTGGATCAGTGAGTGGGTTTTTATTTGGGATCTTCAATTTTTGTAATTTTTTCAGCTGCAAAGGGTTTATGGGATGGGGAAAAGTGGAGTTTTAGTTTGAATTAAGAGCTGGAGGTTGGATTCAAGGGTGTTTTCCGAATTTTAGAATGAGGTAAAACCCCTTTTAATTTTCAGTAATTTTTTTTTGCATGTTTTGAATAATTTATAGCTGGGTTATGGTTGGAAGCTTTTCTAATTTACTACTTGATGTACTAATCATAATAATCCTAATTATCTCTTTTGTATACTCCTCCTACTAGTTGCATATATGAACACGTTACATGTGCTAACTCTAATGTTGAGGGAAAAAAAAATTATCCAGGGTTTCGGTTTTTGCATGTTTGCATTGGTTGAATAAAAAAATATAAGGATAAGGGTAAGTAAAAAAAAAAAAAACCATTTGGCAGTTTTTGTTCTTTAATTAATTTTCTTTGGTCATAAAAATCTATGTCCAAAGATTTACATTGGTTGAATAAATAAATATAAAGATAAGGCTAAGTAAACACCATATGACATGGATTCTTAGAATGGAGAGATTCTCTCCATTTCCTTGCTGCAAGGAGAGTTTCTCTCCTTGCAGCAAGGAGAAGTTTTATCCTTGCAGCACGGAGAGATGAGATTTTATTTATTTTTTTCTTTTTTAAGAGTTGTTTTGAACTTTGGTTTTTATTTGTACTGTTCATATGAACAGTAATATGAACAGCATATGCATGTTCATTTTTTTTAGGAGTCGGTCTTCTTTTACTGTTCATATGAACCGCGCTTTCCAATGTTGCCTCGAAACATTTAGCAACTTATAAGAAACTTTTATGTAACTAATGTGTGCCATAAATATTTTTTTTTAATACCTACGCTATGATGTAGTCACCTAAATCATGGCCCGTGCAAGGCCCGAGCTTCTCANCGAAAAATAATAGAGACAAATAGCACAATACATCTCGTCACATTAAATATTAATTTATATTAGTTTAGGGACATTAATTATGTTTTTACAAGTTTAGCAAAGTCAAATGCAGTAGTCAATTACTAAGAATAATTAATGAAAATTTTGGCCACAAAATAATTTTACGCATTCATGCACCCTCATGTATACATAATGTAATGATTTTTAATCGATCATGTGAGCTTATATGTGAATTATTGTGTATTAAATTAAAAATTATCAATTTTGGTTAAACTCGTTTAAAATGATGTAATAAGGTTTCAGTATTTTGGGTTTTGAAGCATCTAATTAAAGTATGAGCCTTTATGTGTAGAGATCAGACATATTTCTAATTTTATGATGGGCAGAATTAGGTTAACAGGCCGTTAATGTATATATATACGGTTATGGTCCCCGGATCATATGGTTAATTGTTTATTCTGTTTTGACTCCCATCATTAGAGAGAAATAAAGGGACAACGTGTTGATCTGGAAGACTAAAATCGCATGACTCATTCGTTACATTAACCTTGTCTGATTTAGGTACGCTTCCTCTTTAGTTCATAAATACTTGGTGATCCAACATGAAATATCATTACGACGATAAAATTTTTTCATACAAGTGGTATCAGAGACTATTCATGTTGAATCATTAAGAATCGAAATTTTAATTTTGATCTTGTGATAATTTCATTGTTTTCAAATTTAGCAATTTCAGATTTAATTTTTTGTTGAACTTGAAAACTTTTCGGTATGTCTTCCATGATTTAGTTTTTAAAAAAATTGGATGGAAGAGGACGCCGACGGAACTGCTGCTTCTGGCCGACGGCGTTGCTATCGCTAAGCAGCGCGCACTAACAGTATATGTAGTGGCAACGCCGCTGCTAAAGATTGCAGTGCTCGGCATTGCAACCGCAGCCCGCGCGATATTGTTCAGTGGCGGCGCAAGTTCCAGTAGCTAGCGTTGCCCCCGTATTTTTTTAGGGTTTGGGTGATTTTTTGGGGCGGGGCCTGGGTTGGAAATTAGAGTATTTGAGGTTCTTGTTTGCAATTTGAGATTAGGGATTAGTGTTGCAATTTTTAAAATGTCTTTTAATAATTCAGTCTCTTAAGTTTAAAATTCATCCAAATTGGGCCTTTAAAGTTTTAGGTTCAATAATTTAGCCCTGAACTTTGAAAATTAATTAAGGATTAATAGCAAAAAAATCTCCTCTAGAAACGTTTCTATTTGCGATATACCCTTACCTATTGAAAATCGAAGAAAACCTCCTATTTGAAATATTTTGTGTGAAAAACCTCATACCGTCAGATTTTTCCTTAAAAACAGTAAAGATGTCAAAATTAAGAAGTAATAATTGTAATTTTAGTATCCAAACTTTTTATTCATTTACAAATTATACCCATTTTTAATGTATCACCCACAATCTCAAACCTTTAAGAGTTCATTTTCCACCTCACCCACTCCATCTTCTTCCCCAGAATTAATTTATCTAATTTCTTCATCTTCTTGCCCACTAGCAAGCACACCAGAATGGGGGATTTTTCGCACCAAAATCTCATGTTCCACCATAGCCAGCACAGGTCCACCACCTCTTCCGCCACCACCGGCCGTCACAGCTCACCACTTGGACTTACAAATTGAATATGAGTTTAGCTGCAGTAACAGCCCCGCTAACCCTGATATCCATATTCCCTTCCACCTCAACAAACGTAAACACAACAACCACAGCGCCCATTTCTCTTTGGCAGTGACGGAGGAGGATTATGTCACTATGAATGCGGTGGTGAGGACGCTGGAGATGCTTAATAGTGCGGTGGCGTCACCGGCTTTGCCAGGATTTGGAACGAGCCCAATGGTTAGGCGGCTGAGGATAACAGATTCTCCATTTCCATTGAGAGATGCTGACAGTGCCGGCCCTGAGAATTTGGAGGCCCTAAGCGACAAATTATTTTGAGGCCCTATATATATTTTTTTACACGTGTAACAATATGGTGAAATATCAAGAATGAAAGTTCTAAATAGAAAAACAGTTTGTGAGCTAATTCTTGCAATATGGTCAGTAGTAGAATGAGATGATAGGAAAATCACAAAATTTCTCATAGTAACCATCACCGGTGCTAAGCAATTTCTTCATGTTCCAAAGCCCCATCAAAACCAAGAGGTGAACACACTTGTAAAACATGGTAACTATAATTAAAGTGATAAAAACGCAAACAATCTTGCAATGTATCACAAGAACTCATTTTAATCTGTAATCCTAATTCACTAAAACTACTTATAATAGGAATTGAGAAAAGGGTGAACAAACTAAAGGGCATGTGTGAAAAATAGAACAACTTACATAACTATTGAACATCTCCACAACCTTCTCAGTTTCTTCCCCTGTACTCATTGTCACAAATCCGAACCCTGTTGCAATTTATGTAGTGGTGTAATCAGCACTAGTTACCAAACATAGCTTAAAGGAACAATGCATCAGTGGTAGCTGACAATTTTTAGATTTGAATTTGATCTGGAATGAATGAAGTTCAATCAGCCATCAACTTCACCTTGACATTTATGAATCAAGATGCAGTTTCAGTTTCAATCAGGAAAAGAACAAAGTTTCTCAATTCATTCTCCACTGAATTTTAATTTTAGTTCCATAAATTGCAATTTAGCTCCACAAACAAATTTCTGCCCTCTATTGAATATAAATCAACAAGGTTCTTCTAAAATAAATAAAGTTTTCAATCAATCCCGAATGAAAGCTGCACTACAGTACAAATATATTACCTCATTCAAATTCCACGATAATGATTAATAGGAAATTTCATAATTTCTCGATTCCATTATGCAAACAATCATAATTCACACCCGGAATAAATTGAAGCACATATGAATGACTGAATCTCACATAAACCCATGCAGAGAATGAAATAAAAGCATAGAATTGAAATGGAACGGAGAGGCCACGATTTGGAATACCAGAATTCTTCTTGGTACAACCGTGCAATGAAGGTTGGGACACCAGTCACACCAGAATTCTTGTCAATGCCGAATGGAATTGCCGAGTTGAAGAGGCGATTTGGGAATTCTGGAGCGCCACTTCAATTTTCCTTCATGCGGTGTCGAGAGTCCCTTCAATTTCCTCCCCTTTTCTTCTATTTGGTGCTTTGCGTGCTGGACATTTTTATTTGCAGATTTGAGTTCTCTTTCAATTAATCCCATATCTTCCTCTCAAGAGGCCTCTTTTTACGATACTGATATGGATGAAGGGAGACACAATAATTTTTGGGGTAAAGCCTCTGATTCTAGTGATGGATTTATAGAAAATAATGAATCCATTGATCTAAATGCAAGCTTAAATGAAGAAGATGAGATGAACCTGAATGCATTGAGCAGTGGGAAGGACACGACTACTGGGCAATCAAAACTGTGCTAGATTCTTAAAAAAAAAAAAAAACTGTGTGCTAGAGGACACTGGAGGCCTATTCTTCTGGGATGGGCTACTATTTTGAGGCCCTGAGCCCAAGCCAAAATTTTGAGGCCCTAGGCCTTTGCCTAGGTGGCTTGGTCCCAGGGCCGGCTCTGGATGACCATTGGGGAGTAAACCCAAGGTCTGACCAATTGATATGGGTAAGATGTAAAGCTATATTATCGTTTTTGTATATTATATGGATGATCTGAAGTGCAACTAATAAGTGTTTACCTGATAATGCTACAAGATCATTGATGTTTAGACTTTTCTTCTCGAACAGAGTTTGAAGGGTCTGAAAATCTGAAAATGGTGAGGGTAAGTTCCCAGAGACATCAGATATAAGAGAAACCCTACCATCTCTTCTACCAGTGAGCACATCCCACATAGGTCTCTTAAACTGAGAAAAAGGAAGGGGTTAGAAATGAAAATAGCTAGAATTGTTGGGTAAAAAAGCATTTTCTTAGCTTAAAAGAGAAGAATGCATTAACTTACAGGAAAAGAAACAGCATCACGAGCAGCCAATGCAAGAATATCTGCACAGGATACAATTCCTGGGCAGACTCTCTCTATTTGAGATTTGATATCATCAATTGCTTTGAATCTACCCAGTGTTAGATTCGGTCTCGCATCTTTTTCAGATTGATTGGTTCCGATTGTGTCCAGAAGTATGGATGCATCACATCCCTAAAAATTTCGATATCATATTAGTGATTAAAATGCGGTTTGTCAATATATATGTGCATGTGCATGTGCATGTGTACAATATGTGGGTGAGTGTTTGAGTGCATTGGGATGTGCACGTGCTAGAGTCCCCTTATGATTGAAGAAGGTTTTATGGGATTATCTGTGGTCTGATTTTTTCCATTATAGACCTACCCTAACAAAACAGTCGTGATAGTGCATCCGTAGGAGCTTAGCCCCCAATGTAGGGTCGTTCCGCGCTTTACTCCAAGTAATTTGCCTCACAAGCTGCTCAGCTTGTGGACACCCTGTAGTCCTATAAAAGTTCTCTCTCAACCCTCCTATACTAGAACCCTTACCAGCTCCGGCCACCACCACAAGGGACACGATGAGGGGAAAGATACGTTCAGGTCTCATTTTCAACAAGGAAAAACAGCTATTAGGTTTGATATTACAACCTTGTACACTTGGAATGTGAGGAGGATTTTTAATGTACACAAAATAGACTCTTTGGGAGTTTCTTCATATAGGCATGGAAATCAGGGAGGATTGGCTAATAATTGAATAGAAAAATAAGTTTACATGTCAACTTGTGGATTTTGTCAAAAACTTCATTTAAACCCATCACATTTTGTTTCTTGAAATCTTTCTTTTGATTCTCTTAACAAATTCAAGCTAAAATAAATGTTTAAAATTGTAGTCAGTTAATTTAAAATTTTATGTTTTATATTTTTGAGCAATAAACTATTTTACCAATCGGTTTTGGTCGAGCTCGTTTTCATTTTTATTTTTTGAAAAATACATAAATAACATAATTTAAAAATATATTTTCAAATTTAACAAATTTGATGAAATTTTTAAAAATGAGGTGGTCACATTTTTTGACATCCAATAAAATGTTGTAACCTATATTTAATCAAACATATCACAATCATAATAAATACGCAATTTATGATCATGGTCACATACTAGTCACACATGGTCATAGTCACATACTGTACAATCTAAGATTTGCAAATTTATCTCAAGTCACAAATCATTTATTAATTACAAATAACTGGTGGCAATCATTAATCATCTCACCTTACTTAGTGCCTGTTTGTCAACCATTATTGGGAAGCAAATGGTGTAATGAATAGTATTTTTTGGAAAATGTGTGGTTGAAATTGAAAGAAATTTTATCGGTTTTATGTTATTAAGAGCTTGTTTGTCTCCCATTATGGGAGAAAGAATGATGTTTTGAATAGTATTTTTTGGAGAATGTGTGGTTAAAATTGAAAGAAACTTTATTGGTTTATGTGTAGAATATTTTATTATTTGAATATGTGATAGATATTGATTACTGTAGAAAACAATTTTTTGAAAAATGACAGACAAACAGGGGCTTAATCCCATCCTCACTCTATCATCGTCGATAGCAAGCACCTCAATTCACAATCACTATCACCTTTACATCAAATCCATGGCCACAACCACTGTGCTGCATGAGCTAGAATCAAATCATAGTGTTCCTCTAAAGAAAAGAAAAATGTCTTCCCAACTAAACAAAGAGGGTTTGTTTCATTGCAGGCATCAAATTAATCGGGGAAAGATTTCAACAACTTCACGAGAGAAAAATAAAAATGGAAAACCTCGTTTGACAACGTAATATGCTTCCTCCACAGCTACTTTCGCTGCTACCACTTGAACAATTACTAACCAAATTTTAATAAAATAGTATAATCTCGACATAATGCCCATTGATCTTCAAAAACCGTTGATGGGTTTCCCAAGTTCACAATGAGGTCCACCTTCGGAAAAGTGAACGATCCAGATAAAATACTTCGAGGCATCTTCTTTATAAAATTCTTCTTCAGTTGCTCTCTCTCTAATTTTTCTGTATCTTGGGTTTTACACCTGTAATCTATCTAGGCTACGTTGTCTTGACCGTCGACCTCCTCGGCCAAAGTCGATTGCTACCAATGGGGAATTGATAAGTTGGTTGTCTCCTCTTTGAGCTTCTCGAAGAGAGTAGAGAGGAATATGGTATAGAGAATGAAAATTAATTCGGTCAAATTCTCAAGATTCCGAGACCAAGCTATCCCTATATGCAAGTATACTTTATTATTATATCACATTTCTTTACTTTACATTTAACAAGGAAAAATAAAAGAAAATGTATATTAAGTTTAGACTTTGACCAAATAATGCAACCTTGATCGCATTACTAATCATGTTACTAAAATTGATGTACGAGGAATGATCTTATGAGTACCTATACCCATCTTATGTTGAACATAAGTGATAAAATATATTAATTCATTGGTAGATGATAAAATTAATTCAAATGTGTACATATTGTTGGAATTAGGTTTAAAAGAGATGAAATTGGTTAAGACCTTCAAAATTGTGAAAAGTGACTTTCGTGTCAACATCGGTCAAAAATTCGGGCACAATTAAATTATAAAAATATATAGACTAACATGTTCTACTCTTAGAGTAGATGATCGTAGTATATTTGAAATCTCAAAACTAATTTCGAATGAATGAGAAATTGTAGTCCAACATTGGAGGAAAAATTCAAGTTTGAACAACTAAGATTGTCGCTCGAGTGATATCCCAACACCAGGCGAGCAACAGAGCTTCTGTTTTTTACGCTCGAGCGGTGCACCAACGACGAGCTAGCGACGATAACATTGCTACCCTTTTTAAAGGTTGCTGAATTTTGGACAAGTCTTTCTATCCACAGCCCCTCGACCTCTATAAATTGGATCTCTTGAGCATCATTTATGCATTAAACTCATATTCTTGAGTCTTGCATCAAATATTCTTGCAAAAACTCTTCCAAACTTTGCATTCAAAATTATTTCTCGCAGAGAGGAAATTTCGTTGAGTACGTTGTTGCTATATAATTTGAAGTACTTCTACTACAATGAAGTAATTCGATATATTTTGAAAGATGATTGCTATTACTCTGTTATCACCGTTGTGAGGCGAGTATTATCACTTGCCTCAAATATTTTTCATTCATTCTTTTTCATCTTCATTTCTTATTTTGGTTCTATCATTTTTCATTAACAACTTACCATATCACAAAATGATACATAGGATGCAGTAGTTATTATCTTTTCTTGGGAAAAATACATAGCGGATATCACAAAGATTACATGATTAGCATTATTTCTCAAATAGCATAGGTAGATGAAAAAAAAATACTTACTTCAGCAGCCAAAAGGAAATTGAGGTTGTAATCAATATTTGTGTTAACAGCAGCAAGTTTCATAGACAAAAAATGAACCATTTTGAAACGGTTTAGTTCGATTTTGTCGTGTTTTTGAAAATCGAAAACTAAATCAAACCATTCTGAAATAGTTTGGTTCTTTTTTAGGGAAAAAAAGCAGGTCCATGTGGATCCAAACCAACAATTTCAAACCAAAGAGTTCGGTTCAGCTTGCGTTTCCACGATTTTTTTGTGCAATCCTACCCGTGGTTGCATAATTTTCTAAAAATACTATTTTTTCCAAAAAAAATTATATAAAATAAAATCCAAAAAATGGAAAATAAAATAAGAAAAGCCCATCGACTCTCCTCTTTTTATTTCTGATTACATTTTATTTATGTTTAGGAAATTTGTTTTTTTCAATCAATAAATACCAATTTTTCTTCAACATTTTTACACAACCTCTCATTTCATCCCCATTTTCAAGGTTTTCACTTCGCATTTCTTCTTCCTTTTCCTTATTGCGTATTTCCTCATTCTTTTAATTTTTAATAGTTGGGTTTGATTTCTAATCGTTTCTTAATTATCAAAAGCAATTGTTTTAATGTACAAAATAAGTATTCTAGTTGTACTGCGAGACTAAGGGTGGAAGTGAAGGACTAGCAAGAGAATAAATTGGTTAGGGTACCATGTCATTGTCGATCGTATCGAGATGCTAACATCTTATTGAAAAGAGACCACACGAGTATGAAGTAGTTAAAGTAAAAACTTGGACAGTCAAGCAAGGTGAAGGAGATGCACGGTGAAGATGGAAATAAGAATCACAAGAACAAGAGTATATTAGCTCATGTTCGGACTTTATTTTATTTCAAAATACATTTTTCTCTTTCTTTTCAATTACACTTCACACATTTTTCAGTAAAATAATATTGCGCGTAAACTCAAAACTTTTTCTTTATTTTTAACCACACATTCTCCAAAAAATCACTATTTCAAAATAAAGCTGCCACATGTTCAAGGAATTTTGCCAGTATTATACATGAGGGACACTTCAATTTTTCATTGAAAATTGGCAAAAAAAAAAAAAA